CTGCTGACTTTGGTGCCTCTGTGCCCAGGAGAAACACACATCCAAGGTTCTGGGAATCAGGTTTTCCATCTCTTCTGTATGGAGGGGACCACAAAACACAGGCTCTTTAATCCTGTCTTTCTTCTGCTTTTCCCTTCTTGTACTTTCCAAGCTGAGCTGGAAAACAGTGAGGAAGATTATAGGGCTGAGTGATCCCTCTGTGGATTTAGATCTGTGCATCCCTAATGCCTTGATCCTTACCATTTTGGGAAAAGATGGTACCCTGTCTGTCTCCTGAGGGAGTGGTCCCGATGGGGCGGAGTCATCGTCGAGCTCTCCTGTCCTCCTCTCCTAGCGCCTCACACCGTGTCTGGCACACAGTAGGTTTTCAGGAAGTGCTTGTGATGTGGTGGAATTAACTCCTGGGGTCCCGATGCTCTGTCAGTCCCCTTCCTGTTTTGGTGGAGAAGTTACTGCCAAGTTCCCCTTGAGATGGCGCCTCAAGGCCGAGAGGCAGAAAATCCCTTTCCCTCACTTCAGCTAAGGCCAGGGTAGAGCTTTTCAGAAGGGCACTTTCCTTGTAAATCGAGCGCAAGCGGAGCACACACAGAGTATAGACACCGACGGCGGATCCCACACGACGCAGCGGCTGACTGCCCTCAGCTGGGCCAGCGAGCTCTGACCTCACCTTACCCCGCGCTCTCTGTGTTAAGATCTCGGGGTACCGCCCCAGGGTGTGTTTGCACTGGCAGACTCTCAGGCCTTGTGGGTTTCTGTTCCCCGAGGTCAGTCTGCTTCCTGATACTGTGCTCTTAATGTGGGAACGCATTCCCACAATTCCTTCCCGGCCTCGAGCCATCCGCTGGCAACCTAGGTGGTGGCGATCGTTAATTAGAAACCATCGTTTTTAGGGTGTTGAGTAGGACATGTCCACCATGTACTCCCAGATTTTAAATACTTCCCTGTACTCCAGAAACCCAGTTCCTACTTCCCTGCCAAAGATCACTATTATTGTAGTCGTTTATTGGCTTTTCTTCCAGAGTTCCTTTATACATACAGAAGGAATACTTATGGAAAAGCAGCTGGGGATACTTACTTGGCACTTTATATGAGGCCCACAAACTGGGGTCTGATGAGGTGATTTGGTGTCTACAGCACTGCATCTCCCAACTTCAAGGAAGAAAGTTTGCTCAAGTGTTTTGTTGCCCGACTTAATTTCTAGTAACAGCTTCAACCTTCTTTTTTTTTTTATTAATATATTTATTTTAATTGGAGGCTCATTACTTTACGGTACTGTGGTGATTTTTGCCATACATCGACATGAATCAGCCACGGGTGTACATGTGTCCCCCATCCTGAACCCCCCCCCTCCCACCCCCATCCCCTTCAACCTTCTGTAACCTCCTCTGTCCATGGGGATTCTCCAGGCAAGAATACTGAAGTGGGTTGCATGCCCTCCTCCAAGGGATCTTCCCGACCCGGGGATTGAACCCATGTCTCCTGTGACTCCTGCACTGCAGAAAGATTCTTTACCACTGAACCACCTGGGAAGCCCCAGCAAAGTGTTTTGTTGCCCGACTTAATTTCCAGTAACAGCTTCAACCTTCTGTAGCCTTCTTTTAGGGGAGATACAGGGGAGAAGACACAACCCAGTGCATTTACAGATAATTTTGAAAATGCATGTGTGTTTTGCGTGTTTAAAAATTAAGGTACTGTGTGTGTGTGTGCGCGCGCTACGTCGCTTCATTCGTGTCCAGCTGTGTGACCCCATGGGCTGTAACGTGCCAGGCTCCTCTGTTCATGGGATTCTCCCGGCAAGAATACTGCAGTGAGTTACCGTCCCCTCCTCCAGGGGATCTTTCCAACTCAGTGATCAAACCCATGTCTCTTATGTCTCCTGCATTGGCAGGCAGGTTCTTTTACCACTAGCGCCACCTGGGAAGCCCCAAAGTACGGTATATTTTAGTTCAAAAAAAAAAAACAAAGGGCCACTTGGACACCAAATCATATAGCTATGACAGAACAGCAAGTTAGACCAGATTTGACAAATGAATTTGTTGATATTGTGTAAATAAAAAACTATATATATATTTCTCTTTTCTTTTCACATATTATACATACTGTTCTGCAACTTACTTTTTTAGAAAACTTATTGTAATGTAGGCATCTTCATATCATTACTAAGAACACTTATTTCCTTTTGTGTTTTTTTTTATGGTTACTTAGAACTTCATTGTATGAGTGAACCAAATTTTTATGAGCACTTTATTGGTGCAATTTATGTTAATCCCTATATTTCATTGCAGCAAAAATCTTGTACATATATGCATTGACCTTGTCTAACCAGTAACATGTGCAGACAGAAATAAGACAGGATTTTGTAAGGGACAGATAGCTTGCTGATTTACCCACAAAGGCCAGTAGAATGTTGATTTAAATGATCAGGTAAGGTCTATTCTGTTCTGGTAACTCTGTAATAAAAATACCTAGTGGAGAGGTTTTGAACTTGGGATTTGATAAAAGGACAATTGCACTATTCTCTTACAAGATCTGGTTATAGTCCATTACGTTTAATGTATGTAAAGCAGATTTCCACACCTGTGTCTGGTCCCGCTTCAGTAAAGAACTGAGGACCACCCTTATCAGTGTGATGGGAGCACCTCTTTCTATTATGCTCCTTTGTTTATATCCATCAGCATCTTGCTGCTCTGGGGTAGCTGCTGCTAGCTTCTGAGTCCTTTTTGCTAGGCCTTTGTCTTGGCAGTTGGAACAAGTTCACTCTATAGCCTCTGTGCCTTTATGAGCTGGTTTCTATCTTGAGCTTTGTCTTCCTGTAATGGTCTGCAGAACTCTGACGTTGGCCATGGCTTGATGGAGCCTTGGCTGTAACCTCAGGGTGCCATACCATTCCTGTCACTGGCAGGGGAGGATACCTTGAGGTCCTCAGTTGGGTAGCGTCACGATGCTCCCAGGGTACCACTGTGAAAATCCTTGGGCGATAATCACCTGCTTAATCACGTCCAGTCCCAGCTAACAGTGATTATGCCCCTGCCGTGCTCCAGGAGGTTTCCATAGTTCTTGACTTTGAAGGCCTACTCCTACCGCTGAACTCTCTTTTTTGCTTTTATCTGAAGCATCTTCATGAGCACAGCGTTCTCCCAGTGTGGCTTCCTTGGGACACCAATTCCATAGCACACAATTTAGCCTCAGAACCGTGTTGACCCCTCCACATTGTGGGCCCTGAAGATAGGCTTGAGCAGCTCTGTTAGTAGTAACTGACTGTGAGGCCTTGTTTCCCCCACTTTTTGATGAAGCTTGGCTCCCACACCTGTGTTTTTGAGACTTCCCAGTGGCCGTGAAGACTTTGTTGGGAGCCAGCAGCCAGAAGCAGCTTCCCTGCCTCTTCCTGTCCCAGGGCCACCCCCTGGGACCACCTGCTTGATTTCCATGTCCGGTCTGAGAGGGGCCTCTAGCCTCGAAGACCAGCTGGTACCCACCTGCTCTTGGCCTGGTGACTGAAGAAGACTTCCCTGTCTTGGTCAAACCTACCCATATGTCAGTGAACCTTAGGTTCTCTGGGTGGGGTGTCCTTCTGATCTCTTGGATCAGAAAATGCAGTTCTCTTGGATCTCAAAATGCAGTGTCCACCATAGACACATCTTCAGTCCTGGGAAAAAGAAGGTATTTTCCTTGCTCATTGTGGGTTTTCAGCATTCCAGGGTTCTTCCTGGTACAAAAGCTTAGGTCATGGATGGGTCTTCTTCTTGGGGCCCAATCTTGTGTCTATCTTCTGCACCTTGTGACATCTTGCTGTAACAACTTTCTGTTTATCCAACACATGGGAGCGCGTTGTTTTGAAGAGTTAAAACCCAGTTGGTGTGGTCAGAAGTTTGAATGTTTGCTCCTTAGTAACCGTGGCTGATGGGATGCGTAAATAAAGTCACTGGACGTTCTGAAGGTTTTCTTCTCTAGGGAACTCACTGGATTCTTGGCTTCAGCTTCCTCACCTTGTTTGGATTAAATTAAAGAAAGAACAGTAGGGATGGTTGCATGATTTGTCACAGGGAGAAGGAGATCTGGTGCCAATACCCCCAGTTTTCATTATCTTTCTTTTTTTTTTTTTTTTAATTAGCTCTTAAGGTTCTTTGAACTTATCTTGGGAGTGTATTGATTAACCCGCTGGCTCTTCATAACACTCCCTGCAAAGATGTAAGCTCCTCGAGAACAGAAACCTCACCTGTTCTTGTTCTCTTCTGTACGACTGGTGCTGGAACAGTGACTGGCACATAAACGGCAGCTGAATGAATGAATGTTGGTGCTGGATAAATAAAATAGACTCGTTCTCCCCTCAAGGACTGTTTGGCCGCTCGGGGATGGGCAGTTAGACCACCGAAACCATGGTATCTGAATATATTCTCCCATGAATTTTCGAGGCAAGACAGGGCAGAGTTATGCAAGAATGTTGAATTTGCAGGAAAAGTTTGAATGTTAACTCTGCCACTGACTTATTTGGGAGACCTCTCTGTGCCTCAATTTCTTTATCTAGACATGAGGGATAATAATTCCTCCCCCCACACACATATTTTCCAACACTTGGATGAAGAATGTATGAAAAATGTGAAATGCATTTTAAACCAGGAAGTCTGCAAACATAGGGGCATTAATTACACAGTTGTGGTATTCCTCTTCCTTATCTTTTGCTGCATGTGAAGCAAGGTGCCCTGGCCTGCCTCCACCTCTGTTAGAAATAAGATACCCTGTGGCTGCCCTCTGGAGATGCTTTACCCATAAAGTGAATGAAGGAGCAGAAGTCCCTCTAGGATTCCCGTCCCCCAACCCCCATCCTTTAATAACCTTGGTGGGGGTAGGGCATTCCTAGGGCCTAGGAAAGCACACTCCCTTCCCAGGCCTGGCCTCAGCACCTGTGTCTCTGGCAAGCACCCCAATTCACCGTGCATCCAAGAGCTGGACTCCAGGAGCTGTGCATCAAGGACTGCTTGACAGTGTTTCTCTCTCTCCAGGCGGCTGCTGAAGAGTGAACTTGGATCATTCATTACAGACTATTTCCAGGTAAGTTCTGTGCATCTGAGCATGGGTTATTCTTTGCATGTGGGTACATGGACCGTAAGGGATGACCGATATGGTACACAGGACATACCTTCAACATCCACAATTATGCATCCCGAGTTCCTACTATGTGCTGGGACTGCAGTGCAGCGCCTGTGGAGGCATACAGGGCAAGGGTCCTTGCTCTTTTGGAGATTATAGTCTCAGGCAGCAGTTGTTAGGGTTTTTGCTCTCAGGAACCCCTTTATGTTCTTAAAAATGATCATTTATTTGGATTAACTGTATCTTCACCATAATAGAAATTAGAGATGAGAAACTTTACTGTGTGCCTTCATTCATTCAATAAACCTACTTATTCATTCAATAAACCTACTAATGTTAGCATTAATGACATTTTTATGAACAATAACTTTTTCAAACTAAACGTAGAAGTGTGGCATTGTCCTATAGGCCTGCATATTTGCCTGCAGACTGGGTCCTCGAATCAGCTTCATCATCAGTCTGTTGTGATAATGTGTGTCTGGAAAATATTGCACATAGTCTCTGGAAAATTCCACAGTACACTCACGGAGGATGCAAGGCAAATAACAGCTTAGTGATGTTAAGAAAATCGTTTTGACCATGTGGAAGAGGTCTGGGTGATCCCCCAGGGGACCCTGACCCACACTTGGAGAACTGCTCCTCTATTGCCATTCCCTCCCAGCCCGTGGATGGTACCTAACTGAGTGTAATGATATGTCCCTTAGCCGAGTTCTTTCTTATCACTAAGCCTCTCAGTCTGTTCTGTTAAAGGTAGAATTGAATCAGACAAGCTAACATTCCTCCTGCCTAGACACTGTTGTCATGCAGCTAGTGAATTCAAGACTCCAGGTGCAGTCACAGGATGGTTTCTAACCCACTGGCACGAGCTGGCTTCCTGACCCCAGCCAAAGGCACGCGGTGGGAGGGCGTGGGGAGGTGTCATGTAACTGAGTGGGTGACTTCCATGAAGTCAGAGCTGAGTGTCTGGGGCAAGCTGCTTCACCTCTCTGTGCCTCAGTTTCCCCATCTGTAAAATGGAATTAAAAACAAAAAAAGATCTACCTTATAGGTCACTGCCTAGTCCACATGAAATAATGCATGCAAAGCACACAGCACATAGTGTGCGGCGGCTGGGGCGGGGGGCAGCAGAGAGGAATGCTTGGAGCCAGACTGCCTGGGTTCAGTGCCCAGCACAGCCACTTTCTAGCTATGTGGCCTTGGAAAATCATTTTACCTCTCTTATTTTAGTGTCTTGTTCTGTAAAAACAGGGGTCATAGAATGTAACCTTATAGGGCTGTTGTGAGGACTAAGGTAATTATTTTTGTTAAGTGTTCGAACAGTAATTAATACAGAGTAAGACAGAATAATGTGTTCATTAAATATCTATATACTGTTGACCTTTGAACAACATGGGTTTGAATTGCAAAGGTCTGCTTGTACACAGGTTTGGTTTATTTTTTAATAGTAAATAGTATTGTACTGTAGGATCCGTGGTTGGTTGAATCTATGAATATCAAAGATCTTGGGAAGCAGAAGACTGACTATAAATTATATGCAGATTTTCAAGTACGTGGAGGGTTGGCCCCCCAAAGCCCCCCACGTTGTTCAAGGATCAGCTGTATACATATTCTTTATTCTAAAGTGTAATTCATCCATTTTAATGGGAAAGTGACATAAAAATCCATAACAAATTGGTTTCAGGTTGGTGATGTTATTTTGTATCCCAGGTGAGCATACTTTTAAGACAGTATAAAGAGTCTGTAGGTTTTAAAAACAACACAGGCGTCCTTTCATTTTCTTTGAATAGATCAGGAAGCTTAAACTTTTATGTGCACTTTGAAAGAATGATAAATGTCAGTTGTTACACAAACCCACACACACACCAGAAAGTGGCCACTTGGCCATTCTAAGTCTGGACAAAGCAAGACCCAACAGAAGCTGGGAATTCAGTCAGGTCAAAAACCTCAGCAGCTTGAAAGACAACCCCTGTCCAGGGAGAGAGACAAAGATTAAAGAAGAGATAATTAGTCACGAATGTGAATCATTTCAGTTGCCCTTGACGCAGAGGTCAGTCTTGTCCACAGGCTCTTCTCTTGCTGTCTCTAGTTGACTGAGTTTTAAATCCCACTACAGAAGTGGTTTTTCAGTCCCTCCTGGAGAAACCTGCTGGCCCAGCTGCCTTCCTCATTGACATTTAAAATAGACAAGGTTCCGTGTGTGGTTTAAACCAGGTTTGAAGTGTCAGTCATTGCTTGGCTTTGGGGGCTCCCCCTCGGATGGGTGGGGGAGGGCTTTTGGATGGGGGTTTGTTTATCTGGGAAGCGCTGAGGTTTCGGGGGCAGTTAGTACTGCTTACAAAGTGCGCCAGACACTTAACAGCTGGTAACCACATGTCATGTTTTATCTAGAGCTTAATCAGAGAGACTGCTTGGTGACTATTAAATCTCCTTCTGGGGTTTTTTTATGATGTCAAATCTGGGTTTTTTCCTTAGTTTAAGGTGCTAGATTGGAACAAAGGCTATCCTAGACACTGTTTGTTAAAATGTAGGTTTTAGGTCTTGTGTGGGCCCAGAGCCATTTTTTAAATTTGTTTGATTCTCTAGTCCCTAGAAATTACCTAGCACATAGTAGATGCCCAATAAACTTTCCTGGGCTAGAGGAAGGCGTTGTCCACCGTGGGTACACAAGAGATTTGAGGAGGTATATGCCATGGTATTGAGCAACCTTTCCTTCATAGTGTTTCCTTATTTTCCTTTGGCACTTCTGATCCTGCCAGGGAAAGTCTTGGTTTGCGCCCTTGTGTCTGTTATGCTTCTGCAAGACTTGATGATCTCTCTTGTTTAAGGAAGAGAGAGCAGGTTTCAGACTTGGTGTCTTCAGCCAGAGCACTGTCTAATTATAATTAGGGTTATATAACATCGTTTAGTTTGCATTGAGTAGATCCTGAGTTACATTCTGATTATGGTAAATGGTGTTGCTATGGTTTCTTTTTTGAACATATTTATATTTTGAAAAAGTGGATTGAGGGGAACTTCCCTCAATTCTCTGGTGGTCCAGCGGTTAAGACTTTGCTTTCCAATGCAGGAGGTATGGGCTTCTGGTCAGGGAGCTAAGATCCTACCTGCCTTGGGGCCAAAAAACCAAAATATAAAACAGAAGCAATATGGTAACAAATTCAATACAGACTTTTAAAATAGCCCACATTTTTTAAAAAAATCTTTAAAAATAAAGAACAAAAAATGTATTGATTGAAGAAAAATAGTATACAGGAATAACAGTGTAAGTGGCCCTGGTTGTGGCCAAGTGGTGACGGTGGTTTAAGAGAGACTCAGGTTTGGAAAGTCCTTCGCCAGGCACCCTTGGTAATGGGCTGGTTTCAAAGCCACGCCAAGAAGAGTTCTTCAGATGAAGAGGGAAATCCAGGAGGGAAGGCGGATAGAGGCAACCTCAGCCTTCACACTCAGTTATCAGCTGTAGTTTTAGGAGGGACAGTCAGGATGGGCTCCAGAAAGAGCATTCATCCAGCTAGAAGGAGGGGGCAAGGTCTGGAGACAAGTGAGGAATGAAATCCGGGGGTGGACTGTTGCAACCTACATGCCATGGACATGGCTGTTGGGTAAGGTGATGAGCGGGCTCCTCTGTGTTGGAGGATCAGATGACCACCCTCCCAGACATCTGTGCTCAGCAGTGAGGTCTGTCTCCTGGTACCCAGAACCCCCAACCCAGAGATCACTGTTTGTAAAAGCCATCACTGGGGCTCTGCTTTTGAAAGTGAACATTCTCATTTTGCAGCTTTAAAAAAAGATGGTCTTGAGGGAAGAATAATGAAAATGACCCCAGGTGAGGGCAGGGGGAAAGCAGGTGGAAAAATGGTGCTTATCTTATGCTTGCACACAGAGAAGTCAGCCGGTTTGATTGGCAAAAGCACAGATAGATTTCCGGAAGACACCGGCCAGAAAAAATCTTTGACATTTGCAGTATTGATTTTCTTTTTCCCTCAGTCTGTTTTGAATTGCGCCCAGAAGGAAAATTGGGGTTTCCGACAAGAACTCTATATCCTAGAGACAGCCCTGGGGAGGTAATTGGTTTCTTTTAACTCTGGAAATGGATGATAGGAAATGCTCTGCATTTTTCTCTTAACTGATTAGGTACCTTGGTGGTTCGGGACGTGGGGATGGGAAGAGTGGCAGATAGCACTTTCTGTGTTTCTTCATCTGTGTTGTGCCTGTTGGAAGTTTTTCCTCAAGCCCAGAAAGTTAAATTGTTTTTGGTGAAACCAGAGTTTTGCTTGATACAGAAACTCGGTGTGTAGTCAGTGACTTTCAACAAGATTTGTTGTTTTTATTTAGTCACTCAGTCGTGTCTGACTCTTCTGCGACCCTACTGATTGTAGCCCACCAGGCTCCTCTGCCCATGGGATTTTTTCCCAGCAAGAATAATGGAGTGGGTTGTCATTTCCTTCTCCAGGGGATCTTCCCAACCCAGGGACTGAACCCACGTCTCTTGCATCTTCTGAATTGGCAGGCAGATTCTTTTCCACTGAGCCACCTGGGAAGCCCTTGAACAAGATACTACCTAGCAAAAGGGGAAATTTGGCAACCACACTTGTCAATAGGTCACAGATGGCCTAGTAGTGTGTGATATGAATGTTTCCATCTTCTGCTCATATCCGTGAGTCCCAGGAGGCCAGTTTCCCATTAACTCACCATTATCAGAGAGGATTCATCAAGGGCATGTGGCACGTGGCAGGAAGCTGAAGGAGAGACCCATAGGAGCATCCTGGTCACCATGGAGAATGAAACTTAAGTGCAGGGCTGAAGATACATCCATCCAGGCAATACAGAACATTATGTTAGCTGAAGCCCTGAGTGGAAGGTAAAGGCTTAAAAACAGGCCCAGAATAAATACATTGTTTAGGTACAAAGATAGGGCTTGTAAGAATCCAGGAAGATTAGGGTGGAGAAACAATAAAGAGTGGGGG